AGATCAGACTTGGGTTGGACTTGGTTATCTCCTATGTCTCTCCCCTTTCTCTCTCGCATGTCTATGGATCTCTCCCCATGTGTGTGAGCGGAAGGGCAATCTTTCTGATGTCTTGCCCTTCCGAAGTTTATCTCTTTCATGTTTGTTTGTCCACGTGTCCTTGATTACTAAATCTTCCGCTGCGCTGCTTCCCAGCCCATGATGATAATGATACGAATGTGTTGTTGTTGATTTCTCGTTGGTTCACTCTTTGCATTGTGCGCATTGACATCTTGTGAATGTTGCATCCATGCTGCTGGTTGTTGCCACWTTCGTCATTGCTAGATCCTAGGCTCTCAGTGCATTTCACCTCCTGATGTGCTACAAGTGGTATCGRAGCTAGTGCAATGAATCTTGGCAACAACCAATCAATCGATTGATTGATTGGATTKGCGGATTGCCACCAATCAMTCTTCAATTGATTGATCRRTCAATCAGGAGATCGATCGAACAATCGATCAATCAACCAGCAATCATCTAARATTGATTGATTGATTGATTGATTAATTAAGTTGATTGATTATTTGGTAATTTTTTTATTTAATCTTGGAAATTTCCCGGAATTAATTATTTATTTATTTTTTTCCCGAGAAATTATTTGTTTTTCCGAGACTTTTTTTTTTTTGAGAAATTATTTTTTTTCTTTTCCGAAAAATTATCTTTTTCAAAAATTTTGTTTTTCGATATTTTTTTTTTCTTCGTTCTGAGAATTCTTTTTCCGAGAATTTGTTTTTACCTTGTTTAATTGATAAATGTCTGCATTTTTGACAATTTCGCGATTTTTTCTGAAAATGTCCCTCTACACTTTCACTGCGTAGGTCTGCAAATTCCATTCTTTTTTCAAAAAAAAAAAAAAAAAAACAGCATTTTTTTCCTTTTTGCAACCTACTCCTACTATGAGTTTGTAAAGATTCTTCTTTTCTGATTCTCTGCAGTCCGAGCACCGAAGGTTCACATTTGCTTTCTGCATCACCTTCGGTACTCAGTGGGATTGGACAATTTTTTTTTGAATTTTTGATTTATTTTTTAATCAAATTCTTTTCTTTTTTTTTTTGATAAGGAAATTGTTCAATTTGGGATTTGTCCGATCCTTCCCACTCGTTTGCTGCCTACCTGTTCCTCCCCCTCCAGTCCGGGTACTGGGCCAGTCTATCTGATTGGCCCATAGGTGACTCTTCAGAGTGCGGGCACGACGGTGCATGCCACTGCTCACTCGATCACAAACCAAGGCCATGGACCGGAAGAAGGGAGAATCCCTCCTGGCCTATGAGGAACGCCTGGCGGCATTCATCCTAGAGGCCAACGATAGGGCCGCCGTCGCGGCCAAGGAACGTAATCGGATTGGGCATGAAGAGGAGGCCAAGCGACAGAAGGAGGAACAGGACCGACTTCGTCAAGAGGAGGCAGACCTGCAGGCGGCAGCTGAACACCGATCACGCCAGCGGGAACGACTGTTCACGCGGGAGACCGCGATCGACGATGAGACCGCACATTGGGTGGAAATGGCATCTACAGACGGGGCACCGGAGATTGACAAAGGGTTGTCCGCCGTTGCCCAGATCTCCCACGACCTCGTGGCCACCGGCGTTCTGCAGCAGGAGGAAATCCTTCACGTGCAGAAGACAGTGGACCATATGCTTACACGGCTGCAGGCGTTGGAGAAACAGCCAGCTGCTGTAGCAGCCGCAGGGCCTTCCAACCTTGCCACCCGCGTTCAAGTTTTGGAGGATGACGTCAACAACATTAAGCGTGTGCATCAGGATTTCTGGACGTCGCAGCAAGCAACGAACTTGCAGTTGGAGACRCAGGTCCAGGCTGCTGCTACCGTGACGCCCGMGRCCGCATCCTCCCGACGCCCACCCAAACWGGATGACATTCCAATTTTCTGCGATCAGTCCAAGACGGAACCGATCCCGTGGTGGCGTCAGTTCACTCTCAGGCTCGACATGCACCATGTCCTGAACAACGATCGA